AGAATTTATAAAACAGTCATCAGAGCAATAATGACATACGCGGTAGAAACACGACCTGACACAGAGCGGACAAAAAGGATTTTAGAGACAGCAGAGATGAAAACACTTAGAAAAATTAATGGCAAGACGCTATGGGACAGAGCTAGAAGTACAGATATACGACATAGATGCAAGGTGGAGAACATGAAACACTGGGTAAGAAATAGAAGAGTAGAATGGAATTATCATATAAGCAGAATGAGACCAAATAGAGTAGTAAAGACGGCAAAATACGATTCCCCAAAAGAAAGACGATCAGTAGGAATATCACGAAAACGATTGTTGTTTGTTTTAAAAGCTGGTGTTATTCCTTTCTGTTTTATTTGTTTGGCTATTTTTGTTGAAATATTGCCTGTTGTATATGTAATCGAGCAGAAGGTACTGGGTTTTTTCTATGGTGGTGAAAATACTAATTTTAAGGCTTTCTTAAGTGGTTTTTGATTTAAAATTGTATTTATTGTGTGTTCGTTGTACCTATTGTTTACGGCTATTTGCTCAATGATATTCAGTTCTATCTCAAAGTTATTTTTTGACATGGGAATTTCTATTAATCTATGTAACATGCTATGGTAGGCAGTCTTTATGTTGTGTAGGATGGGATGATGAATTGTGTATGGTCGTGTCAGTATGGGTAGGTTTAAGATACACGGAGACCTCATGTTTGTTTTTAAATCTAGAAAATTTATGGATTGATTCGTTCTGTTTCTATTGTGAATTCCATATGACTATGGATTGAATTAATATACGATAAGAATTGGTCAAGTTATATGTTGGTTCCTGTAAAACATACCAGTACATAGTCTACATATCTCAACCAATACAAAAAACCGTTTTAATATGGGATGTTTTGAAATCTTTGTTTTTAGATGGTTCATTAAAATATCTGATAGCAATAAGCTTAGAGGATTACCCATTTTAAGTCCTGCCCTGTTATTTGTATATATTTGATTAAATTTAATTTGATATTATGATTAATATATATATATATATATATATATATATATATATATATATATATATATATATATATATATATATTTACCTCGGAGGTAAAGGACACTATGTCCATTTTCTTACTTTTTAAGGAGAGCAGTTTTAATATTTTTTAAATTTGTAATCAGTAAATACTTAAATCATTCTGATATTTAACCAAAATTAAAATATTATATTAATTTTGGTTAAATATCAGATACATTTGAGTATTTACTGATTACAAATTTAAAACATGTTAAAACTGCTCTCCTTAAAAAGTAAGAAAATGGACATAGTGTCCTTTACCTCCGAGGTACGGATATATATATATATATATATATATATATATATATATATATATATATATATATATATAATATATATATATATATATATATCGGAAAAAGGAGTACGACCGTCAATCCAATATATATATATATATATAAGGATCACTCAGACGAGTGGTGGGTTCTTATATCGGTCTCTAGGTGGAGAAATAAAAGACAAAGTTGATAGGCTACTTTATCTATTTTGAAGACGTTTCGCTTTCGAGTTTTGAAAGCATCATCAGTTCATCTAAAAAATTATTACAATATGAGAACCACACAATCATGGAAACGATGTTAATTGTTACCTTAAAAAGATATGTAGCAGTCAATGTTATTAACAAATATGTGAATGAAACTAAGTAAATGGACATAGTACGCTGATCTTGTATAAACAGTTAAGCAACTAACAACATATATGAACTTGTAAAAAAATTAGCACAGCAATTGACCATGTGGTCCAAAATAAATTCAATGTTATTTAATGTTAATAAGTGAGAAAGAACCAAGAAAATCATAAATAACCTCCAACTATTTAATGGATATTAAACTTTGATTTTAACTTTAGGTAGCATTATAAGTAATATTAATAAAATTCTAAAAAATAGTGAATATGAAGTTACCGATCAAAGCCCTATGGATGTCGCCGTGAAAATGGCGTTAGATGAAACAGGAACGAACTAAACCGCAAAAAGACAGCCAACCTTGAGGTCAAAATTACTTTTGACAGATCAACAAGGTGTAAATACCAACCCAAAATTTTGGGCGGTTAATTTAATTTTAACTGAGTCTGGATGACTACCAGGTTGCAAAGGACACAACAGTGAAAAAAGTTGGTAGTGTAAACACAACTCCCCTCACTAACCAGCCCAAATTTACAAACCGGAGATTTTCATTCAAACTCATAATAATGTAATGACGTTAATCATTATGGCAAGTTAAATAGCCAGGTGGTTAACGATATTATAATTTCCAAACAGCCCAAGGTTCAATATACTTGGAGCTGTGATTTGTAAAGGATTCTATGAATCAATTACAATGTTTGTATTATTTTATATATAATTTGAAACACTAATTAAAGAAATTAGTGTATTGAAATGCAATATGGGTTGCATATGTAATAGTAAAATTAAGTAAAGAAATTAAGTTATTTAATTGATATATTTATTTATTTTATTTCTATTTATGTATATAAATTGTTTTATGAAAAGTGGAAAAAAATTCAACTAGTACACCTAATATGACATTAATGTAGTGAAATCTACATTAATCTTTTCTACTTAATCTACTACTAATTAATCTTAATCTTTTCACTACATTAATGTCATATTAGTGTACTAGTTGAATTTTTTTCCACTTTCATAAAACAATTTATATACATAAATAGAAATAAAATAAATAAATATATCAATTAAATAACTTAATTTCTTTACTTAATTTTACTATTACATATGCAACCCATATTGCATTTCAATACACTAATTTCTTTAATTAGTGTTTCAAATTATATATAAAATAATACAAACATTGTAATTGATTCATAGAATCCTTTACAAATCACAGCTCCAAGTATATTGAACCTTGGGCTGTTTGGAAATTATAATATCGTTAACCACCTGGCTATTTAACTTGCCATAATGATTAACGTCATTACATTATTATGAGTTTGAATGAAAATCTCCGGTTTGTAAATTTGGGCTGGTTAGTGAGGGGAGTTGTGTTTACACTACCAACTTTTTTCACTGTTGTGTCCTTTGCAACCTGGTAGTCATCCAGACTCAGTTAAAATTAAATTAACCGCCCAAAATTTTGGGTTGGTATTTACACCTTGTTGATCTGTCAAAAGTAATTTTGACCTCAAGGTTGGCTGTCTTTTTGCGGTTTAGTTCGTTCCTGTTTCATCTAACGCCATTTTCACGGCGACATCCATAGGGCTTTGATCGGTAACTTCATATTCACTATTTTTTAGAATTTTATTAATATTACTTATAATGCTACCTAAAGTTAAAATCAAAGTTTAATATCCATTAAATAGTTGGAGGTTATTTATGATTTTCTTGGTTCTTTCTCACTTATTAACATTAAATAACATTGAATTTATTTTGGACCACATGGTCAATTGCTGTGCTAATTTTTTACAAGTTCATATATGTTGTTAGTTGCTTAACTGTTTATACAAGATCAGCGTACTATGTCCATTTACTTAGTTTCATTCACATATTTGTTAATAACATTGACTGCTACATATCTTTTTAAGGTAACAATTAACATCGTTTCCATGATTGTGTGGTTCTCATATTGTAATAATTTTTTAGATGAACTGATGATGCTTTCAAAACTCGAAAGCGAAACGTCTTCAAAATAGATAAAGTAGCCTATCAACTTTGTCTTTTATTTCTCCACCTAGAGACCGATATAAGAACCCACCACTCGTCTGAGTGATCCTTATATATATATATATATATATATATATATATATATATATATATATATATATATATACGTTCGTGGTCTCTAGCAAACTGTAGTCGGCGTTGTCGATGTGCTCCAGATAACAAAGGTCTTGTTGCTGGACAGCGAATCCTTAGACCAAATTCCCTCAACCTTGTTCTCACGGTAGAAGTGCTTAAGTCCGCCCGTGAGCATTTTGAAAACGGTTTTGTATTGATCTAGCCGCAAAGAACCAATTTTGCCAAGAAGTGCGTTGTAAAGGACGGTCTTCTCTGGCCGTCGTGATTCTTCTCGGACCTGATCCTGGTCGTCGTTCGTGAGATCCAGTCTCTACGAATCTTTAGTAAGTTTTTTTGGACTATACAACGACTGACTCCAAGCTGTCTGGCCACTTCTCTTTGACTCATTCCATTACCAATCCAAGTAACAATTTGAACAGATCTAGCAAATTTCTCAGCCATACTTTTTAATAAAAAAACTGCTGCAAAGTTTACTCTTTGTACAACTGTACACTAGTGAAAGGTTTTTGAGAAATAGAATAGCCATATTCCAAGAAAAATAAGGTACAAACAACACGTTCATTATCCGAAGTCGTTAAACTGATATCAATTGTGCAAACCTATGTATTATAGTTTATTCGTCTTCCGGGTTTGGACCGTGTCATTTGTGAGTGACCCAAAAGTGGGTTCATCTCCCCGCCTCTCGACGCGTTAGTGTTCTGAGCTGTTGGACGTGAATCCCTGTCCTGGCATTCGGTTTTCACCTCTGGCTGCGTTGTGCTTTTTCTTTTTCTTTTTCTTTGTTCTCCTGAAGAAGCTACATACAATTATAGCGAAACGTCGACCACTTTTGGGTCACTAACAAATGACACGGTCCAAACCCGGAAGACGAATAAACTATAATTCTGACTCTGGCCGTGGAAGCCTACGATTTCATCAAACTTATGTAGTTAGTTACAATAGAATAAATTGTATAAATTTAAAGTTATTGAAAAATTCTTACAAAATTCTAGGTGGCCTCTTTTTCGTCTGCTGCCATTCGGCTGAACATATTTATCGTTAGTTTTATAGTAGATTTACAGTAACTAAAGTTTTAATAGAATTATAGTAAATAAAGTTAGGAATGCAAAATATTGTGAGTCCAGTATATTATAATAGAAACAGAAAAACATAAATAAAGATTTTGCAATTTGTCAAAAATTATCATACCTACCTTGACTTCTGGATTTACCGCAGTGTATGGTTTGTGCCTCTTGTACAACAACATTTCTTTTTGTCCATCATTACTAGGCGGCCTTTTAGGTCTCTTTATGTGGTATTTTTGCATTGATGCAGAACAGTCAGTCGTTGATAAACAGTCTTGATTCTCTTTAACAAAAAACATAACATTTTAATTCCAAAATAGAAATAATAAAACTATTTATCTTTAAAACCTTTAAATTAGCATTATGATAAAGAATAATTTTTTTTTTAATTTCTAATATACGTAGAAATAAACATATTGTAACCATATTAGTATAAATTAAAAAAAATCGGAATCTTTTTAAAAAATCGGAATCTTTTTCTTTATATCCTTAATCATAATGTATACAGTGTAGGTAAAAGTTTATGGTCGGTATGGTAAAATTTAACAGGATATCTAACACAGATATAAAATCATATTTTCAGTGAATAGACAAAGATAACAATCATATTTCCCCTTAGTCTCCCCTCCATAAATTTTATTGACCCCATTGCCTATTAGTGAAACGATTAGTTCCGATCAGAGATATTTTACATATTCTCTGGTTCCGATCCTAATATAGCTAAAAAACTAGAGGTGGGTCCTCTAGTTTTTTAAATTTTTATCGGAACCGTTTTTCGTAAACTGTAACTAGTTGATTGTTTACCAGTATTCAAATTAGCAAGTACACAAACATATTGGCTATTATCGTTTATGTGTATAAGTATTGAAGTGAAAGAAACTAACGAAGGATATATTTTTTATAACTTGAAAAATAAATTAAACAATACAAATAGTACTTACATTTACATGGACCTAAGTCATCTTTATGAGTTTCTTTTTCTTGTACTGGTTAATTTTCAATAGTACAATCTTCTTTTTCTTTTTTTTTTTATAGAAGTAACCAGCTTCTTAACTCTTTTTTTTTTGTTTTTTACCTTCATTTTTATCAGAAAATCCATGCATTTTAAATCATTATTTGTCATTTACGAATCTACGGTTTCTCACTGGTAAGCCAACTAGTTGATGGTTAATTAAAAAAAAACTACGTTTTGTGTAGCCGTAAACACGTAAACAGAGGAGCAACGAAGACTTTACGTCGACGAGGACGATTAGTTGATCCGAGAGACTACTACAAAACTAAAAATAACATGCGACTCTTTCGAGACAGTGGACAGTCGGGCTATCGGTTGACGTTGAAAATAAAATAACTAGGTATTCTGATTAATGAATGAGTTTCGATTTACGATTGATCTGCATTTTCGAAGGTGATGGATACTTCTCATTAATAAAAATATTAGTTTAGAACAAAAGAAACAATATATATGGATTTACTTAACCTATGCAAAGACTCGTTTCATCCGTTTTCCGTAGTTGAAGAACGAGCTTTTTAAAAGTTTGCAGGGTGGATTCTTGGATATAAACCGCCAACAAGAAAAACTTTGTCAGGTTCATTACTTCAGGAATGATATATCAAAACTGAGCAAATTATTAGATCACAAGTTGTTAAAGAAGTAGAAAATATCTGTATTACTACTGACCTCTGGACATCTGGAGTAACTGAGAGTTACATCGAATTAACAGGACAATATTTAACCGAAAATTTAGAATTTAAAACGGTTTTATTAGACTGCTGCCATTTTTCTGGAAACCATAATTCAGAAAACATCGCTTTTAAAATTAGTGAAATTATTATTCAGTGTGGTCTAAAACGAAAAGTAAATTTTGCAGTAACTGATAATGTCCCAAATATGGTCAAAGCCATTAAATATGGTTTGGAATGAAAACATTTAAATTGTTTTGCTCATACGTTAAATTTATTGATGATACGCACTTAAATGCTGTTGTGTACAAATAGATAAATAAAAAGTCTTTTTTTCGACAATTCGGCAAAAAACACATTTCAAAAAAGTACCTTATCTGTAGAAAGCCTTTTAAAGTATCAATTACAACATAACAAAGTTCCCAAACGGCCAATCCAAGACATGAAAACTAGGTAGAACTTCACCTATTACATGTTAAAAAGAATGACCGAGTTAGAAGAGGCAATCCGTTCCACATTGGTATTAGTTAATACAGACTTAGACTTAGACCAAATCTAAATAATTAAGTCTGTGTTATTTGTTCTTAACTGTCCCAAATTTACGGCCTTTTAAAGAAATAACAAGTACAATGAGTGGCCAAAAATACTTGAAGGGTAGTTCAGTGATTGTTATGGTACGCTGCCTGCAAGAATCTTGCAATAAAATTTTAGCAAACGGTAACCTTACATCCATAGTATCCGACGTATTATAATTACTAATATCGGGTTTAGATATTTACAAAAAGATTTAGAGGGATAGAATAGAGTGGCACATTGTCATTATGTACATTTATGGATTCACGATTTAAAGTGCAGGGATTTTCTGATAAAAATGACGCTAAAAAATAAAAGAAAGAGTTAAGAAGCTGGTTACTTCTATAATTAAAGAACAAGAAGATTGTACTATTAAAAATCAACCAGTACAAGAAAAAGAAATCGATAAAGATGATAAGTCCAAGCTGTATTCTAGATCAATTAATTGGACATCACTCATCTAAATGTACACCTGTATCGAGAGTCCATTACAATGGTGGAAAAACCATAGCCATGTATATCCTAACTTAACCACTATATTCATAAAGTATTGTAAATGTGAACACATGTTCAAAATCTGGTTTAATTTTAAATAAAAGAAGAACACGGTTAACAAGAAGTAAAGTAAAAAAACGTATGTTTTTAAATGTCAATTTGGACGATTCGTGATTTAATAATAACGTGTAATGTAAACGTAAGTACGATTTACTATTTGTATTGTTTAGTTTATATAATATTTTTATTTATATATATGTTAGTTAATATATCCTTCATTAGTTTCTTTCACTTCAATAAATATACACATAAACGATAATAGCCATTATATTTGTTTATGTAGGTACTCTCTTACTTAATACTACTGTTAAAAAATCATAGTTACTGGTTTACGAAAATCGGTTTTGCGACGTCAACGAACCACCTCTATTCGTACCTGTGTCCTTACTTTGATTCGGTGCTTTGACCACGCTACACGATACGTCGCCAAATAGTTTTGTATGAAGGTTTTTTATTTATATGCACTTTAATATTTTATTGCAAATAAGGCACAATGTGACTTTAAAATAAACTGATAAGATTGGTTAAGGCTACAATGCGTAATGTGGTTTGCACATTGACAAAGTCGAAATACAGGGCGAACAATCACAGGCGTTTGGAACGCATGTTGGGCTGCGACAGGGAGACGCGCTGGCGTGTCTCCTTTTCAACATGGCACTGGAAAAGGCAATCAGAGATGCCCGAATAGACAACAGAGGAAATATTTTTAATAAATCATCCCAAATTTTGGCATATGCAGATGATGTGGACCTAGTTGCCCGCACAACACGCAAGCTAGAAGAAATGTATACCACCTTCTCAAATGCCTCAAAATCTATTGGCTTGCAAGTAAATGAGGAGAAAACTAAGATGATGGCATCAACACCCAACAATAGAGCCAGGAACATCGGTCCCCAATTCACGGTTGATAACTCTACATTTGAAGTGGTTGACAAATTCACATACTTAGGCTCCCTGATCACCAAAGAGAACGCCATAACGAAAGAAATCAAGCGAAGGATATTAATGGCAAACAGATGCTATTTTGGACTGAGTAGACATATGAGAAGTAGAAACTTAAGCCAAAAAACAAAAATAACTATATACAAAACCCTTAAATAGCCAGTGTTGACATATGGATCGGAGACATGGACCATCTCCAAGGCAGACGAAGACCTTTTGCTTATATTTGAACGAAGGATCCTGAGAGGAATATTTGGTGGCATCTGTGAAAATGGTGTTTGGAGGAGGAGATACAACTACGAGGTATACCACAGATATAAACAAATATTTGGTGGTAAAGACGTAGTATCTCTTATAAGAATAGGAAATTTAAGATGGGCAGGACATCTAGCAAGATCACAGCAGAACAACCCTCCTAGAAGAATCCTTATGTCACAACCCGTGGGAAGCAGAAAAAGGGGTAGGGCAAAACTCAGATGGAAGGATGGTGTAGATGAGGATGGTAGAAAGATAGGCGCAGCAAACTGGCAACGGTTGGCAATGGATAGGACTGCCTGGTGTAATAGACTTGGGAAGGTCGAGGCTCTTTCATAGGGCTGTAGCACCATTGATGATGATGGTGACTTTAAAATAATCTTATTGTGATGTTTAGATTTTTAATTCGGAAATCGTACTTAATATACGAAATATTAATAAATTTTATTTATATAAAACGATTTCCGAAGTATAAATCAAAATGTTATATTACACTTATTGTAAAGTAAAATTGTGGCATACTCCCAATAAAAAAGCAGTATTTAAATCCAATTCGCCCAAATTTGATTATCTTGGAGCATTGTTCAAATGCTAAAAAGACAATAGGTCAAATAAAACCAATAAGTTTGGCAACGTTGAACTTCCCCGTTTTTATTATATCCACTCATGTATGTTCGGCGATATAAAGGGCGAACCTAATATACTTCTCTCTTTTTAAACGGTTGTTTCTCACTCCATCTCATGTAAGGTCCATACCGATCATAAATTTTTAACTATACTGTATGGACAAATCCCCATTATTTTTTAATCCCCAACTTTATAGACACCTCGACTTATTATCCTTTAGACGATTATTAAATAATTTTTCGAAGTTGTTTTCAATAAATATACTATTTTCCATTATAATAAAATATCCTCAGGTTATTTTTTTTAATTAATTAATAGTTTGTAAGACGAATAATTGTTAATATCAGTGAAAAAACGCAGAATTTATTGGATGTATTTTAAAAAATTATATAATTTAAAGTTATTCTCCCTATATCTCCCTAATTCACTTTTTCAGTACCAAGAGGATCGCTCGGAAATGTTTACTGAAATTGCTTTTCATACAGATGAGTGCAACCTTTGAGTATAGAAGATGTGTCAGTATCCTTACTGACACACCTTCTATACTCAAAGTATCTAACAAACTTATGATGAAACTACTAAGTGTAGTTAAAAATTTTTATTTCACAGTTTTCCCTCTTTGAAAAGAACTATAAATTGTTCAGCGTTTGTACTGTAAAATTTTGCAAACATCATTTTGTTCTTTGTTAAAAACAAAAAAAAATCTGCAGAAGTCAGCTAAGTAACAATATAATAAACCATAAACATTCAAACATTCTATGGAATTTATTGTATACTTTATACATATTCATATTCATACTCAATGAATTTCATATTCATTTTTCAGTTCTTCATGTTCAGTACTTCAGGTTCAGTTTGACAATTCATACCCAAACACATTCTAAAATACTATTCAGTACAACAAATGATACATTATCTGTAACACAAACCGTCCCTAACCACACACCACAAAACACTACATCTACAATAGACACAACCACTAAAACCAAATTAACTCCATTTAAATACTTTAGATTACCGTTCATACAAAACTTAACACCGAAACACGAATTTTTAAATCAGCTGATGATGACATAAAAATCGCTAATTACTCAGTATTAAACATTAATTCTATATTCACTAAAGTAAAAGATAAAACACCTACGGACCAATTATCCAGTATAGTCTATCGAATTTCTTCCGGAAGTTGCAACAAATATTATATTGGCCAAACCAGCAGACACCTAAAAAGTCGTATTACTTCCCACAAGAGTGGCAGCAGATTATATCCCGATAGATGTTCCCTTGCAAAACACGTACATGATTAACACCATATAGTGAACTACAGCGAAACAAAGATTCTTGCAATGAAAAAAAAATCTCAATAAAAGACTCTTACTCGAGATGACATTTATCTCTGACAGATTGTAATTTACCATTACCAAAACCATTACTTGATGTTATTAAAAAAATCACACTGCTGTTAACCTTAATCAAGAAAGATATAAATAACAAACAATTACTAAATTGTATTTTACCATTTATTTAATTGTAGGTCTCATCTGATGATGCCAATGAAAATTGGCGAAATATATATATATATATATATATATATATATATATATATATTATATATATATATATATATATGTATATATAATATATGTATATATATATATATATATATATATAATATATATATATAATATATGTATATATATATATAATATATATATATATATATATAATATATGTATATATATATATATATATATATAATTACAATTAAGACAATTTTTTAAATTTATATTGGATAGAAAAACTGTTTAATGACACCAAACACGACTTCCCATAGTCACCTCTAGAGGTGGTGCGAGGGTCAACTTTGAAATATTAAATAAGAATCCCCATTTTTTATTGGAGATATGGATTTTTTATGCAAAAATACGTAACTTTTATTTTGAGCAGTTTTTAGAATGGTTAATAGGTGGCTATAATCGAAAAAATACGATTTATCCGGATACCCTACGAACATTATGAAAACCGTCTCTCGAGAGAAACACACTGTTAAATGAAAAAACAAAAAACAGGTGTTTAACTTTTTTCAAAAATATATGGAATGATACCAAACACGATCCTCTAATCGCTGTAACTTTAAAATCTTAAATAGAAACCCTCATTTTACATTGTAGGTTCAAATTCTACTTAAAAATCTATTCAGTACCAGTAAAAAAGAGTTTACGAACTTGTGATACAGTATTGACTTCTGACTCTGTATTTGTTTTTCTGCAATTACAGCGTCATATATCGCGAATGGAAAAATTCAGATAAACCTTTTTACTTTTTCACGTAGAATCTGAATCTGCAATAAAAATGGGGTTGTCTATTAAGGATTTCAAAATTGCCCCATACCCTTCTCCCAAAGTTTGATGATAGAGGGTCGTGTTTGGTGCCATCCGATAGATTTTTGAAAAATAATGAAAACGTGTTTTTTGGTTTTTTATTTACAACTGTATTTCTCGAGATCGTTTCCTTAATTTTTATAGGGCATCAGGATAAATCGTTTTTTCCGATCTCAGCGCCATCTAACAACAATTTGACAAAAATGTAACAAGTAATTTTCTTATTGTTTCATGATGAATCCAAATCTGCAATAAAAAAATGAGGATTCTCATTTAAGAATTTAATGTTGCTATGTTAACACTGTGGGTGGGGTGGGAGTTAAGATTACATCCAAAAGGTCTGGGATTGGGGAATCGCGTTTGGTGTCGTTCTATAGATTTTTGAAAAATATTAAACACGTTTTTTTATGTTTTTCGATCCGATGAAACTTTCGCGAAATATTCGACCGACCCCTACTTCTTTTGGCACACCGTATTTATAATGGCTTCCACGATTTAACAAATTTTTCGAAATCCCCTGGAACTGTCCGTAAGAGCCAATGCAAAATATATCTTTAGCCTACGAATACATTTTCCAAAAAGCTTTTCATAACAAATTTTCAACCATTGCAAAATATAAATAAAAAGTATTATTTATCTTCACTTAATAAATAAAATAATGTAAAATAAAAATAAAAAACTGGCTAATAAACGAAAAATATATTCCTTAACCGTCGCATAGAAACGAAAAATCATAAATAATTATGTAAACAAGAATTCTATAATGAAAAAAATTGATTTTTTCAAATAGTTCGTTCATTTCTTAGTGAAAATCGTTCGCTATAATAGGGTATTCCTTGTTTAAACCAATCGTAGACCAACATAACCTATATATATATATATATATATATATATATATATATATATATATATATATATATATATATATATAATAAATATCATTTAAAAAAATCCCTTGGTATAAAAGAATATTTTCTAATTTTCTTTAATTTCGTTATATTGCGGTTGCGGTTGAAAACGTATGCAAACAGTTTTGAATACATTGTAGAATACATAAGAAATATTTATTTTCTCCGTACGCTCCGTAAGCGTACGTCTCAAATGTTTCACCAGCATAATTTTTGAAAGCGAAAATTTAGGCGTTAATTTTGCGGCGTAGTGTAGATACACTAATGGTTTTAAAAAAAAACCAATTGGATTTGACTATTTAAATGCAACATAATATCCTCTACACTATATGCAATAAACGATCTTTTGATAACAAAGCTGATGGTTCATGGTTAATGTTTTAAGTAAGTCATCGAATCGATTAAACACCAGATATAATAATTCTAAGGATATAAATTTTATTTAATACTATATTTCTTTCCCTTGTGTGGCGACTCCAGTCTCTTGATAACATAATTAAGCATTTGATATGCTTAGTATTGACAAGAAAACTTTAAATTAAAGAAATAATTTTAAAACTGTACCTGTGTGTATCAAGGGGCTTGGGATGTTAAGAAGAGCTTCTTCTGCACCTGGGGAAGGTAGATTTGCCACAAGATGTGCTACAGCCTGTTCTACCTGCGCCGGATCCTCCACTATGTCAATTGAATCGTTGCTTGGTGGAGGAGTAAGGTTCTAAAATATTTATTTATAATTATGTACACTTATTTAGATATTTACAATAAAAAAAACATTGACAACCATATATTATGAGTACGAAATTACCTGAAATATATATTCAAATCACTTTACCGAAAGATTTTCTCACATAGAAAAAAGATCTTATTTGAAAACCTTTTTCGTACTTTTCGGAAAATATGTTATAAATTATTTTGTTAACCGAGAAATTCTTCCTCTAGCGCCCTCTAGCCGGCTAGAGGCCGCTATTTTTCGGTGGAACAAATAAGGGGGCAATAAATTATATTGGCTGCATGTAAAAAAATTCAAAGATCTTGTGTATGTTAACTTTATTTATAATTTTTAAGCAAAACGATTGTTTTATGCCAAATTAATTACAAAAAACGATACTTATATAAGTATAAATTTTACGAAAAAGGAGAAAAAAAATTTTTTTGATTGTTGAATTTGGATATTTATTATTTACATTATAATGCTATATATTACAATAATGTAGCTATATTAACAAAACAATTTATGTTTTCTATACACAGTTTAAGAATGACTGACTAAGATATATTTAGTTAGTTCATGCCTTTTTGAAGTAGCATTTTCTTTTCAGTACTCTGTTTTCCCAGCGCATAGAGTCTAACCCTAAAATATTCATGAATACGGTTACAATTGACGTCTACTTCTTCAGTACATAAAGAGAAAACATTGCCCGAAGCAAGCTTATTTACAAATGACAGAACAATGCCATTGACTATCTTACCATTCACACACTAAACATTTTAAATGCACCAGTTGCCAAGAAAGGTTTTCTGTGTTTTCCACAACCTGAAAAGTATCTTTTGTGGAAATCGCTATTATTTTTAAATGTAGTAACCTGCTCAATTCCCCAACAGAAGCATAAGAATGATCGGATTATGGTTTAAATATGCATTGGAGACAATCTAAACACTTCAGTTTGGGAACGATAATTGCTCTAATAAAAAATGTCACACATATAAAAAGAATCATCATCATCATCTTTGCGGTCGGCCTTTGCTTCTTCTTCCTACATGTGTTCCTGTGGTTAGCTTTTTAGCAATCGTATTTTCTAGCATTCGTATTATGTGCCCAGCCCATGTAAATCGCTGTGTTTTAATGAACGTTATGACATCTGGCTCATCAAAGAGCTGATACAATTCAAAATTATATCTTCTGCGCCACTGCCCTTGGTCGTTTATAGCTCCAAATATTTTGCGGAGTATTTTACGCTCAAATATTCCCAAAAGTCTTTCATCTTTCCATGTTTCTGCTCCATATGTGAGGACCGGCCTCCTTTCTTGAGTGGAAATGCTTTTGGAGTCCATAGTATGCCCTATTTGTAAGATTTATTCGTCTTTTGGTTTCTTAGCTTGTTTTATTGGTAGCAGTCAATAGCGACCCAAGGTATGCGAAGTTGTCAACACATCCAAAGGTATGACTTCCAAAGACTGTTTCTCGTTGCTCATTTGCTATCGGATCCTTTGTAACCAACATGTACTTGGTTTTGTCTTCCTTGATAACTAGACCGACCTGTTTCGCCACTGTTTCCAATTCTAGGAGATATTGCTCAACATCTCGCTTGCTACGCCCTATTATGTCAATGTCATCAGCATATGCTAAGACTTGTATCGAACTATTGTAAATAGTATCGCCAACCCTAATTAGTGTATCTCGGACTGCGTTTTCTAAGGCAATATTAAATAGGAGGCAAGCCAGAGCATCCCCTTGTCTGAGTCCATCCTTTATCTCAAAGGATCTAGAATTCTCTCCCTGTATTCTAACAGTGGCTTCTAAGTTAGACATTGTCATTCTCGTTAGTCGAATAAGTTTCTCTGGTATACCAAACAATGCATTGATTGGTATAGCACTGTTCTCTTGACACTGTCGTATGCGGCCTTGAAGTCGACGAATAGGTGATGGGTTTCAATATTGAATTCTGTTTTCTCGAGAATCTGTCTTATTGAATGAATCTGGTCAATTGTTGATTTTTCTGGAGTAAATCCAGCTTGATATTTACTAACTGTGCCCACTGTGTAAACTTGAAGCCTTTCGTAGAGAATATTTGCTAGTATTTTGTAAGCAGTTGTTAACAGGGTTATACCTCTATAGTTGTCATACTGGAGTTGGTCACCTTTTTTATGTAACGCGAATATCACGCCTTAAGACCATTCACATGGCATGGTCTCATTATGCCAAACAAGTAGTAAAAGCTTATGCAGTGTCTGTAGTAGGGCATCGCCACCATTCTTGTAGAGCTCACTGCAAATTTGATCAATTCCTGGTGATTTATTATTTTTAAGCTTTTTAATTGCTTGGGCAACGTTTTTGATGGTAGGTGGTCTTTCGTTTGGGTTGAAAGGATTCCAATCATTTCGATTTGCTAGAGTGTTATCTGCTTCTTCGATAAGATGGCCATGAAATTTTGCATCGAAAAATTCAACCCATCTGTTTAGGATTGAGGCCGTATCATTTAGGATGTTTCCTTCTACAGCTCCTTATTGGCTTAAACTCTGCGCATTTTGTTTATATTTCTGTAGAACTTTCGAGTTTCATTTTGATTTCTTAGCCATTTTGTGCTTTCCAACTGCTTTTGCTCAAATTGTCTTTTTTTCTTCTATGTAATCGTTTTTCTTCTCTTCTTAGGGTCCGGTATTCTTCGTTTGTTCTTCTTGTGCATCCAGCTTGATTTGTCTTTAGGTATGCCCTGTTTTTGTTATCTGTTGCTTCTTGGCACTCCTTGTCAAACCATTCGTTTTCTTTAACTGGTTTGGTTTTCCCCAATATTTTTGTTGCTTTCTCAGTTATTATGTCTTTACATTTTGTCCACAGTTCCTCTACATTTTCCCCCACCTCCAGGCTCTCCATTTCCTCGCCCATTTGTCTCCTATACTCTCTCGCAACGGTTTCAATGCGCAAATTATCAACATTACTTCTGTCTTGTTTCGTGTATTTATCTTTCTTTAGGTTTGATATTCTTCCTCTGATTTTTGCCATTACAAGAAAGTGGTAACTGTCAATGTTTGGGCCTCGGTAGCTTCTAACGTCTATGAGATCGTAAGAGTGCCTTGCATCTATCAGAATGTGGGCCCTGATTCTATTTCATTTCGATGTCGAAATTTAAAAGCGACTACGCCATGACAGTCGCAATCGCTAGCGATTCTCATTCATTTCGATTTTAGTTAAAAGTGGGGACATTTACTTTATCATTTTGACACTCCTCAGAATTTGGGTTGGCCGTCTTGTTTATTGGCTGCACGCTTGTTAAATGTTTGTTTTGTTTACATTTTACGATTTTTGTTTCTTGTTTGAGTTGTTAAATTTTTAGTGGCCATTCTCAATGATTATATTTTGAATTGAAAGAAAATCGATGGAGGCTGTTGGTGATGGTGGCACTAAATTCTCTGTGGACCAAAAAGAAATTATGATGGCTTTTTGACTTAGTGGTTGTATTATATTTTTAAATTTACTGTAGCTTAGTATTGGTATTACTAAAAACAATACATTACCGCTCTAAAAATTCTTGATGAGTTTAAAGATTATATCTCCAAATAAGAGTGTAGAATTAAAATAAATTATTTCAACCAAATTATTTATTATTTCTATCTTCCATTACAGCCTGTTGAATATATTCAAAAATTGTGGTTTCCAATTTAGTTTTAATATTGGGACATTTTATTTCTTTAATTTTTACACCACAGTATATTTTAAAAAATAATCAGTAGCATCTGGCTTGGGGCCCCCAGGTACCGCAGTTCTATTTTTATAGGTGTTAAAATTTCGACCAATTATGTGCCGAATCACATACAATTTCTGATAAAACGCAGCCATATTAATACTTTTTGCCTCAGTTTTCGTTGCAACAATCAAACAAAACAACACCGCCTAAACTGAACCTAACCTCGCTTCTCCCAGTCCCGCTAGTCATGTCAGATTAATTTCGACTCGAAATTAAATTTCAACCACTTTCTTGAAGTTGAAATTAATTTCGACAAATCGAAATTTAGTGACGTCCTTTGGTTAGTTCAGCTGAAATCCATTAGGCTCGCAAAGTCGCATTTCGACGTCGCCATATTGATTTCAACATGTTTTCAGTCGAAATCTCAATTAGAATCAGGGCCGTGATCTATCTGGTTAATGGTTTCGTTATCAGGGGATTTCCATGTCCCTTTGTGTATCATTTTATGGGGAAATCTTGTTCCTCCTACTATCATATTTTTAGTACTTGCAAAGTTTATTAGTCTCAACTCGTTATCATTTAACTCTTCATGTAAGCTCTCACGTCCTATAGTTAGATGGAAAAATTGCTCTTTGCCAATTTTTGCATTAAGGTCCCCAGCAATGATTTTCACGTCATGACGTGGACATCGATCATATTCTTTGTCTGAAGTGTCATAGAATTCATCTTTTTCATTATCCCCCTTTTCTTCCGTAGGTGCATGTACACTAAGTAAGCTATAATTACAGAATTTTCCTTTAAGACGTAGATAACATATTCTGTTGTTTATGGGTTTAAAGTTAAGGACTAATTGCTTTGCTTTTTTTAAAAAGACTACAATCCTTTAATTTAGATTTCTCATCTCCTACCAACACAATATTCAACTTTTCCGGAAACAGGTCTACGTCAGTTTCTATTTCATAATCTTCAAAAAATATTCTTTTCGTTTTACTCCACACTAATTTGGAATAAATTTCCCTCATTTTCATTATTATTTTGATTATTCCATACAATTGACAACAGGAGAGAAAGTGATATTATGATTTAAAAATACACTCGTATAAGTAAAAAATGATTATTTTAAGCCAAGCAATATATCTTTATTACTTAAAACCACAAATATCACGGGAAACAGGTAAAATTTCAAACAATATTTCAAGCGCTGTACGAAGATATCCTCGTATTATCTTTGTATGTATTGAGATGTTTCGTCTATCTTTCTTTCGTAAAGTGAAACTAAAGCGCATCGTTGCCAGATGTTGAATAAGTATTAAATTTGTTTATTTTTCACTTCGAGATCTGAGACAAAAGACTTTAAGCAACAATCCTAAAAATTGTTGTAGAATTAATTTTATACTCATTGTTTCAATATGTTTGTTCTAATAAAAAACTATATAACTGCAGTTATACTTACTATAAGCTAATTACCTATAAGTTCAGCTTTAATAGCGAGTTAAAAGTTTTTTATGTTTGGCAACGTTGCCTAGTTAAATACAGGCACTATAATGAATAGCGCGATCTAGGTAATGGTATGTTTCTAAACAACGTAGAAAATGTTTTAATCACCCAGAATATCGCAAATCGCCTCATTCACAGTGGGCCCTGTTGCTCACACTAGGATACAGTCTACATAGTGGTAATGTATAATATTTAAATATTTTCTTTATTATAGTGTAGACTATGTACTAATTATGACTTTTCTGTTCACAGGTGACCTACAAAAAAAATCACAAAAAACACAAAAAAACGGCTTCGGCCACCAAAAAAAATCAAAAAACACTAACAAAAACCGGCTTCGGCCACCAAAAAAATTAACAAAAACCCCAAAACCCGGGCACGTAGGGCCCAACCCCCTTGAGCTCCAAGTCGCCGAACTGAGCCGGGACTCAGAGCGGAGACTTGAGGCCCAAGTAAGCAATTTTAGTTCGCGGATAAGCTACATTAAGATAAACAGGAATAAAGCGGAGATGCGCTGTCCTGAGTTTTCACATACGGTTAGGAAACCATGTTGGGGTTCAATTACCCAGAACCTCCACGTGAAGAGCACTTAGCTGATTGTTGTGCCTCTATAGCGAATCAGATTGCTATAGGGTGGAAAGGGATGGTCTAGAGCATTGGAGCACGGTGGGGTGATTCCTGTTTTTAAACACGAATTAAAACACCCTGCTCCAATGAATTGTTACACCCGATCGTACTACCTGGGTGAACATTTCTCATAGGCTGGGTTCAATCAAATTGCTTGCAGAAAATGTTTTACCTAGTATTGAACCGACTACAAGTAAATTGGAAGTTTTACAACCAGGATTTGCATGTTAAAGATCAGAGGCTTGTTTTAAATATTTATGAATGTTTGAGAACAGAAAATGAAAATTCAACCCCACACGACATTTTCAATGTAATCTGTAAATTAATAAAATCGTCATATAGTACGGTTTATAGTGTTATTAAAAGGGGAGATGTTACTGATCCCAGCTAAAGGTCGATTCAGACACATCAGTCCCGTCATAGTCTCGGCGCCGAACCGGTCCTGTTTGGTCACAGAACTATTAATTATTTGACAGCTGGGAAACTGTTCGTCGCCTGATGAATGTGAATGCCGGCGCCATATTTCTATTAAATAATATTTTGAATGACGGATTGTTCGGTTTGGCGCCAGGACTGTGACGAGACGTGACTGATGTGTCTGAATCGACCTTTAAAAATAAAACACGACGAACAAAAATTTCATAAAATTGATGACGTTTTAAGATATGTAATTCGAAGAACGGTATAGTTACGATATTTATAAAGAAAACAAAGTTCCAACATTATAATTAGTGTACAGTAAATAACAAAGCTACAATAGTTATTGTTATCAATCCTTGGAAACTCTTCGCGAAATTCTTGTTTAATGTGGATTTACATACAAAAAATTTAATAAGCGAATGGTTATAATGGAATCAACTCGTATTGTGATCATCCTCAAATTTATTTAAGAAATATTAAATATTATCCCGAATCAGGCAGGAGCATACTTAGACAATACATGGTTTGATTCTCATGATGTAGTTAAAAAAGGGTGGGTGGATAATTCTAAAAATTGCACGTTGAAAGAACCTTGTTCGAGGGGAAAGCACGTAATAATTTTACATGCAGAAAATGAAAACGGATTCGTATAATACCCGCTTCTCATATCGGCCAAAAATATTAAAAAGTCGTGTGCGGGCTATCACGAAGACATGAGTAGCGAATTATTCAAAAAATGGTTTTTACAACAAATGTTACCATTCGTATCGTTATCATTCTCGGCAACTTCATAAAATTCCAAATGTCAATACGAAGAAATCGGATATTTTAACACTTATGCGAAATAAAAATCTAGAAATACCTCAAAACGTTCCAACAAAAAACAAATTATTAGAAATAGTAAAATCACAAAATTTTCAGTAAGAGTATGTAATTGCTAAATTAGCAGAAAAACGAAAGCATTCAGTTGTTCAGTTACCTCTTTACTACTGTACTTTATATCCAATAGATAGTTTGGTATATATAAAACGTAATTTACGGAAAAATAATAACTCTCCGTCACTAAACAATATAGTGCTCGATAATATAAGAACAATTATGAACAAGCCTGACAATACTGAAATTTGGAAAAGCAGTGTGGCACACGCTATCCAGCAAAAACAAGAATATTTCGTTCTGTCGCAATTGATCTGGCGAAGATTCGTCTTCCGAAACGAATAAGTAAAAGTCCAAACACTTTGATTTTTACTTACGTTAAAGGCATTGACATATAGGTACTTCACTTTTTGAGTATTTTTCTTAGTTTTTGGAGTTTCTTAGATATTACCGATAATCTCGAGACCTCCGTTTTTAATTTGCGACAGCCAATTCCGACAGGGGGCGCTGAAGATGTCAAAGATGGACGATAACTTCGGGAAAACAAATCATTTTGTCATTTTATCTTTAAGCTATAAAACGTTTAATATAAATCATTTACACGTGTGTTTTGCCAAAGTAAAAGTTGGAGTACGTTCTTCAAAGTTTATTTGTTTGTAATTCGAGTTTATACGTAAGGTAATTGACTCCCAAACCTGAATAAAAATTAAATTAAATGTTTGTTTTTCTACAGTATGTATGTAACACTGGAAGTAAAATTTACAATATCTTAATTATTTATATGGTTGCAAGATCGGCAGAGATCTTTAGTTGAGGGTGAGGCAGTTTTTGGAGCTGGCCACGTTATATTTTGTAAATTACACCTTACGTTTTCTACTAATAACTTCATGAGACCATTGGGGCAATTTAGTTGATGGAACAGCATTTTTCTTCAGTCTTCTTAATTTAGTTTCAGGTTTTACTATAAAGTAAATTAAGTATAAATATATTAAAATATAAAGAATATTTTAATCAACACTTGGAAAGTAATCGTTCTCAGTAAAATGTAAACTGCACACAGTCACGTACTTGGTTATACGTTTGCCAATTCACAAAATGTATTGCCAAATGGATTTTTTTTTAATTATAATAGGATGAACATTGAGGAACACTGCAATAGTTTTTTAAAGTTGTTAATTATAAAATAAACCGGTCGCTAATATGTATACAAATTAATGACAATTTCAAAGTTTTCCCGAAGTGGATGTTTTTGAAATCTACCACCAGGCGTCGCCCACTTTGCGGTTCCTCGCCAATTGACTTTCGATGGACTTTACATTTTTTGCCCCCTTATTTGTGACCACCTAGCGGATAACACGCGCACGAAACTTAAAAACATCGGTTTTGCTTATTGTACTCCAGTTTTAGATTTAGTTTATTATTACTACATCTAGGGTGCATTTTTAATTTAATATTGAAGTAATAGTCAGTCCAACTATTATATCATTTATCAATCAATCAATGACTTCGCGTGGTTTCTGTATTGGACAATCTATAATAATAATAATCTATAATAAAAATAATTAAATAATATGACTGTTTTAAAACTTTGCATCTTTTTATATCGCTAATAAAATATTCCTTGTATAAATGGACACATAAGTAGCAAAAATACTCACGCTAACTTCAAGTGAGCACAGGGCAGAATATCTTTTCTTCATATCATCTATCAATTGCATACCTTCCATTTCAGATACCAAAGTATTTACACAAATAAAACTTTCCACAATACCCTGATCATCTATTTCTAAGAAACCGTTTGTTCTTAGAAATATGAATTGTCCGTTACGGGACTGCAAACGATAGCATGACCATCCACGCATTTCTCCTCGGTCGTACACTAAAATAAAAAGGACAATGACTTCGTATCTTTTTAAATCAAATTATAATTTAAATATTACGATAATCTGTTAACTACCATATTTGACGTAAGAGGCAAACTACTCTGGTGTAGATATGATACATCAGAAGAAGAGATTTGGTTAAATGAGCTTATAATTAGGGTCACATTAGTAAAAGAAAGAGTGAGAGAAAGACAGAGACAAACCATTGGGAGTTAAGGTGAACAGTTAAAAAGAGAAAACTGTTGGAAGAGTTAATCGCGAATATAGAAATCATTGCAAAAATTGGGTTCAAGCATGTAAAGAGCATCATGTAATAATATGTAAGTTTTAACTAATAATAGAATTATAATATTAGAAGTAAATAATGATCACACCTATTCTTAATTTTATAAAATATTAAAAATTTGTTTATGCATCAAAAATACCTCCACAATTTATTATTTAAAATGTCAATCAGCACAGGTATAACCGCATTATATCTATTACGGTATGGAAAGGTATCCAAGGAATATACTTATTATTCTGTAAAATTGTGAGGGACACATAAGAAAAGAGCATGATAAAATCGGCAAAATTCTTAACAGTAGAAATTCTGGACAGAATATCAAAATTTAGGTAAATACAGAGTAATACTGCACTTTAATTGCGTTTGTAGGCGTTAAAAAAATCCTGATGACTTCTCTTCTTTTGATGCCCATTCGTCTCGAATATTGGCGATCATTATAATTATTTTATTAACTGATGCTTTAAATAGATTAGTTGTTGTTGTGTAGAACCATTTCCTCAGGTTTTTTAACCATGATATTCTTCTCCCAATTACTCGCCTTCCGAATACTTTGCCTTGTAGGATTATTTTCAGTAATCTGTATTTAGTGCCGTTTTTCATTATGCGTTGTAGATATTCTAACTTTCGCCTTTAATGGTATACATCACCCCTATTTCTTTCCCCATTCTTCGTAGTATAGTCTCGTTGGTTATCTTGCCCGTCCATGATATCCTTAGGATTCTTCTGTATAGTCACATCTCGAAGGCTTCAAGTTTTTTCTCCATCGCTTCAGTAAGTGTCCAGGATTCAACTCCGTAGTATAATATCGAGAAGATATAACATCGTAGGAACCTTACTTTTACCTTCAGATTAAGGTTGTTGCTTTTAAAGAGTTTGGCCATGTTGCTGAATGCACTACTAACCTTCTACATTCTACATTTTACTTTTTGTGAGTGATCCCATTGTTCGTTTACTATCGTTCCAAGATAGGTAAACTGTTTTACTTGGTCCACTGGTGTATTCTTGATAAGCAGTTGGACGTCTCTAATTTTATTTTTGCTTATGACCATAAATTTAGTTTTTAATATGTTTACTTGTAGTCCAAATGTTTCAATTACTTCATTATTTTGTTTATTAGTTGCTGTAAACTGTTTAAACTGTCTGCAAAAATAACGGTGTCATCTGCATTGCGGATGTTGTTTAGACGTTCTCCATTTAAAGGGATTCCATGTTCGCAATTTTCCAAGGCCTCACTAAATATTTCCTCTGAATATAGGTTGAATAATATAGGTGAAAGTATACATCCTTGTATAACGTCTCGCAGAATCTGGATCGCTTCCGTCGGTTCTCCAAGATTTGTTCTTATTGTGGCTGATTGGTTCCAGTATAAATTTTGTATTATACGCCGGTCTTCATCATTTATTAGGGCTTTTGTTAGAACATCATTTTTCGGTGTTGAACTGTGTCAAATGCTTTTTAGTAGTCCACAAAGCAGGTGACGATATCGCAAGTCATTCTCTGCATCTTTATAATAATACCTGTCGACTAAACAGTGCATCTCTCGTACCTACGCCTTTTATGAATCCAAACTGTGTGTCTTGTTTTCTCTCTTCGCATAGCTTGTATATTCTGCGATGTATAATTAAAAAAAATTTTTTAGTGTATGGCTCATTAGACTTATTAGCCTATATTCTCCGCACTTTTCGCTCCCTGTTTCTTTGGTGACGTAATAAATTCTGAAACTAGCCAATCTTTTGCAATATTGCCCGTGTCATCATATTATTGAAGATTTTACATAGTTTAGACTGTACTCCTTCTGGTCCTAGAGCTCTCCCTTCTTTTAGTGATATTATGGCTGCTCTTATTTCTGCCACTAATATAGGCGGTCCTGTTTCCGTTGGTGTTTTCCAGGTATTATTAATACTCTCTTTATCCACGATTACCTCTCCATTGTCATTAACAAGTTTACTTACTCTTCTGTTTTTACATTGGCCTGTAGTTTCTCTTACCTTTTTTGTTGTTCTTGTTTTCCTTCTTTCTTCCATCAGCTGCAGAATCTCTGTAATCATCCATGTCTTAGACTTATCTTCTTCGTTCTTGTCTAAAATTGTCTTTAATGTCGTCTATCCCTTTATTAAGGGATTCCTCTCTTTTGTGCTTTCCGTTGTATTATCGATTTCTTTGAATTTTCTATTTATTGTTTTACTGACTATTTCTACAGTTATAATAATAATAAAGAAATGCTGACTACAGTGTATTTGTATTTCTCTCAAGTCGGTCTAAGTGTGAACTACTTTATAACAGAACAGAATACCTACATAAGTCAAAAGACTCCACGGCAATAATTAGTGAGAATTAATCGAGAAACATAATACTCTTTTCCTCCTCCTCTTTCATTTATTCTTCGGAAGAATGTAGCGACATTATGTCATTTATTAGGCTGTTACTGTCCATTTCTCTTTCTTGTTTATGTTGTTCTGCTACCGAGAATGAGTACATAGTTGTTTATTTGGACTATCATAATGAATATCTTCCTCTAGATTTTTTGTTAGCTACATTGCCTTCAACTATGGTTCTTTCCATACCTTCTCTTCTAGTTATGTGTCAAAATATCTGAGCATACTTTGAGTAACAGATAGTCAATTGGTAATGTTAAGTTATATTAGATTAAGTTAATCGTGGGGTGCCCATTCTGCATTATGCGTTAAAAATGGGATTTTTTAACGGTCCATGTTTCCGCAGCATAAGTAAAGCTCGAATAAGGCGTAGCTTTGTGTTTTGTGTAATATTAGTGTCTTTCCATATTTTGGTAAGTTTTGCCGTAGCCGACCTAGCCAATCTGAGGCGCCGATGTATCATTCTCTACTGTTTGTGGTAACGCAGCCCAAATAACTAAATTATCTAAGCACTTCTAACCCTACTTTTAAAATATTTATAATTTCTGTTTGGATTATTTCGGTTTCTAGTAATAACCATTACTTTAGTTTTCTAATATTTATTTTTACGCTATGATCTCTGCTTATTATGTTTAGTCTGGTAATAATATTTTCGAGATCTTCTATCGATGACACCAATATTACGGTATCTGTGCCAGTCCTAAAAAGGTAAGCAAAATTTGTTCACTGGAAATATTTCATGGAAACTATTTTCATTTTATAAAATTTGGCGTGGGCTAAGATGACCAGATCATCCCCATAGCCCAGGACATGATGCCAATCAGCCCACAAATGACCAAATTCCACAAGAGAGGCGATCAAAATCCCCCTTGCCTATGGCTACTTGTGCATATACTGTATCACACCAGTGACGTTACATATATCACACGGCACCTCGGCACACGGCATAGAATGCAGTCTATCCATCTGAAGATCGTTTCGTCTATTCCATCTAGACGAATCGCCCTTGTGATTGGTTCGTAGGATGTATGAATGTTCTATAACGAGAATACACCCAACATCATCTCTTTTATTTTCAGAACGTACTCCACCCTCTGCACAATATGGTGCAGTGCTGTTTATGTAGACTCCTGCTCGATACGCAACCTGTCTTTGAGGTATTGGACTTTCAGCCTAAACACAATACAAAATATATATTATATATTTCTACTATCGTCTGCTAGAGAGACCCATAAATGAAAAATGAAGGGAATCACTGAGCCATGAGACCTTATCTCTCAACGTACTAATCATACATAGGCCGACTCGATTCATTCGCAAATTTCAATTAAAAATCGCAGGTGAAATTTAGAAAATAATATTAGGTCATTATAAAATAACCTGGTTAGCGTGTGGCTTGAACCGACAATCACTACACCACATATAATGAGCAAGCTAAGCTCAATGAAATGAAATCTCGGCTCTAGCTCTATCGCCGAATTTTCGAGTCAGCGTCAGAATTATACTAAAGTCAAGGAAAAACAAGATATATCACGATATTAAGTTGACGGAAAAATTTCAGTAATACTTACTTTGTCTCAAAGCAATCATCACCCAACGTACATCGTCTCTATGCATATATAAAAATGCAGAGTGACTCAAAACTTCTTCGGTCATATATCCGGCAATAATAGAAATCCTTTGGTCACAATCGATGATACGGCCATCAATCAAATGTCTGGTTACATACTCTTCTTTGGAGGCCTCGATTAACCTCTCTATAAATGGTTCAGGTCTGCATATTTTTGCGAAAAATATCAAAATCTAAAACAAAATTTACTGTTAATGACAATAGGAGTATTATAAGTTGAACATTGTGAACGAAACAAAAATAATTGTGTACTTAATCTGATTGTAAAAATCAATATAAAACTGGTTCTAAAACTATCCAAACTGAAAGAGTAACTTGTATTCACAAATCAAAATAATTTCCAGTAAGATTTATAATATAACACAGAATATTAATAGTATTAACAATATAAAATATTTAAATTTAGGACAAAATCTGATAAGTTAATTCAACGACCTAATAAATATTATTTTTGTTAATCAGATTGCTCCACACTGCAAAAGTCAGTAACGTTGTACAAAACAGATTGTTGCCCAAATTTCTCCCATCTTAGTGATATTTGGGTAGGAGCATTTGAATCTGGCAAGGGTTGTCTTCCGGTACGTCATCTTGACAGTAGTTTCTGGTATTTGGTGCGAAGTGCAACATAAATTATCAGGTAATTGGTTTTATGTAAACCTTGAAGAAATACAACATCAAGTATGTGTAATACATCTTCTTAAGCACTGCGATAAGTGTATTGTCGATCTCCGAGCATATTTTGTGTAATAGTGGTCTCGGAGAATATTATTTGATTATTTTTTCACTTCAATTTGTAGGCCTACCATGTAACGATAGGGGTTTTATGGGTGATGAATACTCTGTGTGAAGTAGAAGAGTCGATATTGGTACTTGTACCCTTCTGGCTAAAGGTTAGTACATGTTGATATTTTAGTTTTTACATTTGCTTATTTATACTTGCTATGGGAATTGAATTTTTCCTCTTAAGTACTTTTGAGATAGCTTATGTATTTAGGTAATTAGTTTTAGATTTAACTTTTTATACTAGTGTAATATAAAGCGAGATAATCTAATAGGTTTCTCTTTGTAGGGTTTTCATTTTCTTTATTACGTTGTTTTACTTTTGGACTTAGGAACATATCGCTGGATACCAGGGGCGGCTGGTCCTATGAGGCAGGTGAGGCAGTGCCTCACCAGTATTAATCGACTATTTACGTTCTTTAACTACAATTTAACTTTTTGGAATTTTCTAAATAACTTTATTTTCATTATGATAAAAAATTAAAATAGGTACACCCCTGATGTCTTATCTTTGTATATTTCTTCATAATCTACGGGCCGGACAAGGGACAAGCTTAAACCACAAAATATTAAATAAACAACGGCGCCTATCATCTGTGCATCTCATTCTCTCTTTAAAAATTATAGCCGAGGCAAGCCTCACGGCATTGCTCTGTCTAGCATATTAGACATCACATTATGTAGCGAAATTCAACATGATTTATTTATTTTCTGCCCACTATTTCACCGAACAGGAGAGACAAGCCTCTCTCGTTTGGTGTAGTTCTTTTAATTAGCAGCGTTGCCGTTTTGGTACAAAGGTACCCAATTCGCTACATTTTTTCTCTCGGGGTATAAAAGTACATTTTAAATAAAACATAGATTTTTATTTGAAAATTGTAACAACATTGGAGTATTTTCCTTTAGTAGATGGTACTATACATATTGTTCTATTGTTTTCCGATTTAACAAACAATATTTTTTTTCTATGCATTTACCAGATTAGCAACTTTGGTACATTTTGGAACATTTCTGCAAAATTGTTGTAGTAAGTAGTAGTTAAATTACTTCCTGTTGACCTGTTGGTGCGGCAGGATCACGTTTGACGTATCTCGTGTTGTTTTTCATTAAAAAAACAGTAAGATTACATGTTATATAATAAGTGCAATTCTAATTAAGTTTTTTAAATAATTTTGGTGGGTTTGTTTTTGTCTGCAGGATTTTCGGTTTTAGTGAAAAATGGATTTAGCACCGAGCACTTCGTCACAACTTTCCCAGGTAAATGTAAATATTCGTAATACTTGTAATCTCGTAAATTTTTTAGTCAAACAGCAGAATTTTTCAAGTCATTCATATGAAGATATATTATATATAGTTAAAGTAGTAAAACGACCTATTCCAGATTTAAGTAAACATCTTGTTTCTATCGGTGGCGTCGGAAAACCAAATCGGGGATTTCAAAATGCATGGTACGAAAAGTTTGACTGGCTTACGGGTAGTATAACATTAAATAAATTGTTTTGTTGGCCATGCATTTTATTTACCAAAGCTAATACTAGCGACAAAGTTTGGTTCAAAAATGGTTATACTGATTTGAAAAATTTGTCTCGGAGTCTATTGTTACACAATAAAAGTTCTCAACATATTACATCGAATTGCAAGCTTACTCTTATGAGAAAACAAAAGCAAAATATCGCTACAGCACTAGACAATTCGCGTAAAATAGATATTGAAAATTTCAATGCTAGGGTTAAAGAAAATCGGCAAAATTTAAAAAGCCTTATAGATATTACGTCACACCTCTGTATGCAAGAGTTACCGTTTAGGGGGCATGATGAATCTAATGAATTTTTAAATTGCGGGAATTTCAAAGAGCTAGCTGTTCTTGTTAGTAAATTTGACACTAATTTAAAAACATTTTTAGAACATGATAATGACTCTAGATCAGTTTTTTCTGGGACATCTAAAACCATACAAAATGAATTAATCGATTCAATTGCTTTTGTTATAAATAAAAAAATTGAGGAAGAAATTTCAAAATCATTATTGTTTTCCTGGCAGGTGGATGAGACTACTGATATAAGCTGCCATTCACAACTATCCGTTATTTTTCGTTACGTAATAAACAATAAACCAGTCGAACGATTCATAGGATTTTACGATGTAAGTTCCGGGCGTTCTGCTCAAGATTTATTTGAATTTTTATCTACCAAATTTGATCGTGAAGAAGATGGCACTAGATTAGCAGTAGCCATTTATAACACTTACTAACAAATCTCCCAGATAAAAAATACCTACTAACCCCCAAAAAAATATAAAAATCCCAAAAAAATTAATAAAAAATATATAAATTAAAAAAAAAATATAAAATAATAAAAAATTCACAAAAAAATTATAAAAATACAAAAAGGTCACGGTAGAGGCCACCTAGATCCTTGAGGCTACAACTTGGCCGCTAACCAAGGTGCAGGTTCGTTTTTTCCTCTTTTCCTCCCTCGTTTTTCGTTCGCTTTTATCTCACGATATGAGATTTCATGATAAACGGGAGTAAGTCGCTTAACGACACCTTGGGTATGATTTAAGTTAAGTTGGGTATGATTTATGAGCACCCTATTACACATGGTGCTCATAAATACAGCTCAATCGCGGACTTTTTCAAAAACAGTCAGCCCTTATGCTGCACCTTCAGTGCACATAAGGGAGGGTGGAGGAGGGCTTAGGAGAGCTTTGAGGTGAGGATGACTTTTGTTAATCCGCGCGCGTATCGTCAGAAGTCCTTCTCACGCCAAGTCATTGTTTGCTGGCGCGAGCAATGCCTCCTTAGCCGGGTATGACTGGAGCAAAGAGAAGCTAACCATAATAATAATAATTTTCCTTAAGTGTAGTGTGCCTCACCAGCTTGTACTATCACGAGCCGCCCCTGCTGGATACCTCCGTTGGTTTTATTATAACCATTTTTTTAATTGTTTATGAGCATGCTCATTAGTCCTCTACTAATTTTAATTTTATTTGTAAGTAGTACCTAGTGCATTTTCGGTTCGTTTTATTGTTTTATGTTCTACAGCGTTTACGCTTGAGATTATGCGATGAACTCTATTTGCCTATTACAGTCTAAATTTATTTTCCTTAACTTATTGTGAATACATATTTTATAAGTGAGGTGCCGTTTTAAATCCTTTGTTCTATATACCATTCATTAACACTGCAATAATTTGGTAGGTTTGGAGTTGTAGTCTACTTTAGACGTGGGGCATGGGACAAATCTTCCTGGCGCTGAGTTAATATCCATTCAATTACAAAAAGTCTTAACGAATCCCCATCTCCACTTAAGAACTGCGAGCTACGCCTTTGTTGCCATCCGACAGCCGGTGTAGCAACGTAGAAAATTTTACGAAATTTATCAAAAATATTTAAGATTTCTATTATGGCAGACAAAACATTTGATGTACTGCCACTTTTTAAATTAATTTGATAATATTAGTTTTTCACAGTCTTTCGTGAGCCCTGGCCTGCCTCAAAACATTCTTCCATCCTTTCCTCATTCATATTATAATTTTAAATTCATGACATTTACATTATTTTATACTCCATTGCCACATTTTCAGTCTTAATCATTAAACAACACCTTTAAGTTGCAATTTAATTTCCTCTGGTATTGTTATATATTCAAGACTAAACTATTACTCCTTGTAATCTGTGTGTATTTATAATCCGTAATAATTACAGTGACCTCATAACTTATATTATTTTGTCTTTGTCTTTAAGTTTTACTTAAAATAATCACTATTTAAATGGAAGAATAATTTTTGAAAGAAATGAAATTGTACCTAATATCAATAAAGTCTGCCGCCCTGTAGGTTTAATAGATAATTAGAATAGGTAGAATACAGAGGGGAATTCTATACAATCTGGTAAAAAGACATTTTCTTACGAAAATATTAAATTACAATATATCTGAGATATCAGTTTCGAATATTCTTTTGAAATAAATCTCATCTTTAATACTACTGAAAAATATCTAAAAATCGAAAAAGCCCAACACAATTTAGAAAGACAGAAAGAATAAAGACAACAGAAGAAACTAAATTAAATTAAAAAGTCGAAACTACTACCACTGGAGGTAGTTGAACATTTTAGAAATGCTTTCAACCTTAATAATGCTGTCAACCTTAGCAATTTTCTACCTGTTGGGGGCAATAACTGGTCAATAGTGAAGTAATAAAGATTAATATATATGAAAGTGACCAAAACAGATTACTGATGGTGAATTTAAATCAGAGAATCTTTTCATATTATACTTATGAGTATAATCAAGAAAAGCCAAAGAGAGTCGTGGTAAAGAAACTACATCATACATGTCCAACACATGATGAAGTAGAAGATCTTCAAAGAAGAGGATACAAAGGTATCCGAG